GGAAAGAGAGAACGAGAGACCGGATGTCCTTTCGTGGTCGACTTACTTCGTTGTCGACGAGGCATCCCGTTTCTTTGTGTCCACGCCTCTTTGTTTCGTTATTTCGTCCAACTTCCTGTGCTCGAAAATTCGAGAGCGTCACGCTGCTCGCCACCCGCCACCCACCTCCTCCGCCCCGTTATTTATATACGACCCTTCGAAATTGTAGGCCTCGCGAGACCTAGATATCAAGCTCACCTTGATAATCAATCACACACAATATTTTTCTCTCGGAAAGAGAGAGCCCCGATAGTCAAATCGATAGATACCGTTCGCGAATCGAATGATATCTTGCGCTAATAACAGCGAATGAACCAAATCGGACAGTGAATCGGATTGGGGATAGGGGGAAGGGGGGGGGGAGGGATGGAATAGAATTGTAGGCTGAATTGGATTAGCAGACGAATCGGATATTAAACTTGAAACTCGCTCATCAAAACGATTCTATAGATTATTACCTCGCTTATGGATAAAACGCGTAATTATAACGATATTGCGGTAATTACGCTGGACGCCAGGAAGTAATTAACGCCTGGAAGCGCGGCAGTTACGATGCATAATAATCTTTTATTAGGCGGAAGATTGGCTGAAGCTTGAGAAGAGCTGATAGCCGAAAATGGATGAGCGCATGTAACATAACGGATATCGATATCTGTAGTTTTTTTTCACAATGGGCTTTAGTTAGTAGATAACGAGTAGATTAATGAGCTGCGAGCAGCTGCAGTCGATTTAAATCGCTATCAATGAGAACGAAACGTTGTTTTAACGTCACCAGTCGATATAACCCTAGTAATAGCTTGTTATCGATATATGGAAGGTCAAAACCTTCAAGTCTGAATTGTACATTCAGAATCGTCCATAATTCGTAGAATTATTTAAAATTATTTAGAAAATGGCTGTAATAATGTCAATACGAGACAAGTATTAAATTATTGATGGTCTATTAAATTAAAAAAATATTAACTTATCGGTAAGAAATTCAAGTCGCGACTCGAATTTTCAATTTCAAATATAAAATTTATTATTGACAAATTATAAAGTCTCAGCTATTTTCTTCGAGAGAAGTCTTCTAGCTTTTTACCTCAAGCTAGTGATAAACACGTGAATTGCAGTCGTCAAGCGACATTATGCAATTTTGTATAATTGAAATATAATTTCAAACTTTCACTTTGAACTATTTATTTATGCTTGCTCGCAAACGTGTAATCATCAATTCAGCCTTATTTTTTCTCTCCTCTTGTGTCTCTCCTCGTTTGCAATCCACAAAAGAACATTTTGAACAAAGAACAATGATACTTTTTATAATAAAAGAGACCCATGATGCGAAATCTACGATCTTTACGGTCATTGCGCAGAGAATACAAATCTGAAAATCTTCCCGACCAGAGTACGATGGTTCGAAGCGACAACTTCCGGCGCGCTTACCTGACCGACCGGAAGCAGTGTGTCCCCCTGCTCTCTCCCCGCCCCGCTTCGCCCTTTACACTAGCGCGTCTCGTTTTATCGCGTCGCGCGAATCAGCGACGTTTCGGAGAGTTTCGGTTCGCGTATGATGAACCATATAATTATTTACTACTTAAGAAATGCTCGATTCTTGTAATGATCGCCAAATGTGCCGTTAAAAATAATATCGTGGAAAAGCAATTTATTTCCATTGTCAACTCTGAGAAACGAAGGATCGTTGATTTAAAGGAATTTACTTTAAATAAATAAGATGTCATTATTTCCCGATAGTAAAATATATATATCGGGAAATAATTTTGACGAATAATAATTATGGCATACATAATTATTATTAATTACGCTTTACTATTTCTGAAAAATATGCACAAAAATATAACAATTTCTTGAAAATCTGGATTTTTTTATGTTATAAAATATAAATAGACAATAATTTTTCTTATCTTCTTTCAATTGTATCACATGAAAATTTTCTTATTCTTCTTATTATTTGTAAATTAATTTGTTCTCATTTTATTGTGTTCATTTTAAATATTTGTTCACGTGGATTATTGATCCGCCGTTAATTTTCAAATGATTATTTATCAATTACTATTACATGATCGAAAAGTTGAGAGCAAAAGTAACAGTAACAGAAGTAACAGAAGTCATCCGCCATCTAGTGGCAGTTCTAAAAAGTTTTTCCTATTTAAGATTAATTAAAATTAATTGGCAATAAATGGAATTTAACTCAATCACAAAATGTTTTTAATTACATCTCTATTCAAAATTTAATTAAAACAATCATTATGTGAATATAACAAAAATCGTTTTTTTTTAAATCATTAGTTTTATGGTTGATAAAGAAGAATATGATGATGCCAACATTGTCGATATTATAGGAACATTATAAGGGTAAGCACTGTCGGTAAAGTCGCTATTAGATAATTCTGATTAATGCAATCTGTATTATCGTCAGCACAAAACATCTGCTGATCAGGCAGGATGCAAATACAGAAGAAAAAAGAAGAAACTCGAGTAAAAAAAGAGGCGAATATGCTTCTCACGAGATTGTGGGATAGCATGTGGCAGGCAGATGATTACAGCTCGTGTGTTGAAATTGCGATTTACCGCCGCGAAAGAGAATGAGAGGCGCGCAATTCTTCAAAAGCGATTCCCATATGCGCAACTTCCTGTGGACACTTTTTTTTCTTTTCTAATATTCGCGATTTTTTTCTCACGAGTGTAAAAGTCGCTTGGTTTTGCTGATCAAAAGATCCGGTTTAATTTCATAATCGGTCAAGTCGAGTATATGATTCCTGTTTCAGTAAATTAAATTTAAAATTAACCGGAAACAATAAAATTTCATTCCCTCATCCTTTCAAGAGATTTAACTCGATAGAAGAAAAATTAACTCTCTTAATGTTTTGTTATAGTTTCCTAACCACTGACGTTAAGTTTTATTAATATAACACACACGCAAAAGTTCGATATTTTTAATAATTTCAAGATCCTCATTACAATTTGGTATTAAAAGTATTTTTCAGTTGTTCTTCATCAGTATCATAAAATAATTGAAAAAAATATATATCTTTTTTTCTAGATAACGCCGTGTAATTTGTTCTGCGGTGTGTCATTTGATCCTGTCAGGCGTTCAATCAATTACCGCGAAACCGGCAACCCGATACGAAGACGAGCATGTCTCTCTCTCTCTCTCTCTCTCTCTCTCTCTCTCTCTCTCTCTCTCTCTCTCTCTCTCTCTCTCTCTCTCTCTCTCTCTCTCTCTCTCTCTCTCTCTCTCTCCCCGTTTCGAGTTAATAAAGGGGGGCAAGGCACTCCCTCCCCCTGTGTCGTGCTGATTTAACATACGATTGGCACGATAGCCCTTCCAGCACGAGGTGGGAAGGAGGGGGATGCGGGGTCCAACGCGATATTGGGTTTTCTTCCATGTGCGATGCGGGGCTCTTGGCCGATCGCAGGAAATCAAGCGGTGCGCGATCAAGCGATTCGTCTTGAGAGTTTTTCGCCCGCGTCCCGGCAGTCGTGACGGATCGCGTTGTTCATTCATTCTCGGCCTCCTCCATCTCCATCTCCATCTCCATCTCCTCCTCCTCCCCCTCCTCGTGCACCGTCGTCCATTCATCTCCGGCCCGTTCTCGTGGCTCGTTTTCGCGCCGAGCGCGGACGGTGTCACGCGAGATTTACACAAACGCGCGAGAAACGAAGAATCGAGAAGAATCGAGTGATCGAACGAACGCGCGATTTTACGTAAAAGGACTTTGCCTTTCTTCCTTTTTTTTTACAAGGTTGAGAGAGAGAGAAGTTACTAAACTTTATCATTCTTCTTTTAGGAAGATAGAATACGATATAATTAAATTAATTATTTTTGTTAACTTTTTAAATTAAATTTTAATTGAAAATATTTTTTTCTTTTTTATTAAAAAATTTCGCGCAGACTTTGCAATCAAAGATTATACGCCTGGTGTGTATGTAATAAAGAAAAAAAGATTTTTAATTTTCACGAAAAGAGATACTTAATGTTATAAATATTCTTGACACACAAATATCTGTTTTTCTCTAACGTTTCTTTTCGCAGAGGAACAGAACGACTTACGCACATGTGATGATGCTGCGTAATATTAGATACGCTTGAAATGTTGGTCATGATGTTGAGACAGTTGTACCATCTCATGCGCATCGAAGCGCTTGAGAACTAAATCGGCCGTGAAAGCGTGAGATAGAAACGAAATGTCGTTTGAAATTTGGACCAGTTTTCGTGAGGCTTTCAAGCCTCACTCGTTAAATTGCGGTTAAACCCGTGAAATTAGATAACGAGGGTCAACGGTTTCGTTCTTTTGGGACATACGGGCGCCGGTATATCACGTCGATTTAAATAAATATTACACGTCGCGGAAAATCTTCAATGAAAATTAAAAATTAATTCACTTTCTAAGTAGAAATCTTTTATGGAATAAAATCTTTTTGTACAATATGCGAATTTTTCTATAAATTTTATAGCCACGCGTAGCAATTCTACAAAATTTTATTTCGACCATTACAAGTTAAAGTTAAAATTAAATTTTTGTTTTAATTGATAAAATATTTTTTTGTAAAATTCTTCTTTAATTTATGAGATTAGAAGTTGCCGCTACTGTTTGACATCTTTTATATCAATTAAAAAAATTGATTTATTCTCTAACGAAAACTTTTGTAAAATATGTATTTTCATGTGTGGAAATGTATTTTCATATGTATTTCAAATGTATTTTCATATGTGGAAATTTCTCTATAAAATACTTTTTTAAACAAATCAGAAAAAACAAGGAGCGTATATAAACATGACGTGTTTCCGTTTTAATCTTGTTTCAAAATCATGTCGAAAATATTTTTCTCTCTTAAATTCCATTACATATTTTATACAAAATACAAAATTATTTTTAAAAAAAAACAGTCCTATTCCAAGTCTTTTTTCCCCATATGCATATTTACGCCGCGATGCAAATACAAATCTTATCACATACCTGAGAGAAGTACGACGGCAGAACGCAGCGTTGGTCGTCGAGACGTGAACTCTGCACCCGCTCAAGTAACTCGAACAGATCCTGCGTCGTGCTCTGTGACATGATTTTACAGAATTAATTCTCTCTCTCTCTCTCTCTCTCATTTTCTCTCATTTGTAAAAAACTATACACTTAACAATCACAAATGTGAGTTAACCGTTATATTATATGTATAACCGTGTACCGGCTAATTCTTAGAAACCCTTCCATTAGTGCGGTCAACGTTGTGATTGTAACTTACCTTGACTTTCTCCGGATTGGCGCCTTGTACGTCCTGCCTGTCATCTTCCACGGTGGTGGCTCGCCGTGACTCGGGCTCGCAGTATACGGGTTGCTCCAGCTGCTGCCTCCTGAAAAACAGACGAGTCATGAACGATTAGCGAGCGGTGACTCTTCCCACAATTTTTCCCGTAAATGGAGCATCAAAGCGCTAAGACGCGAAAATTATCGTTACGACCAGACGTGATGACATCTCAAGGTTTCCACACGGAGAGAACGGTTTGACTGGACATGGAAAAAAATTTTGTCTGGAAATAATTATGTAAGACGTTCGAATCAGTTGCTAAAATATATAAGAAAGATTTTGCGATATTATTATCACGTTTAAACCTCGTAATTTTAATTGTAGCACAACAAAATTATTTTCTTCAGGTTTATAGGTCCGATCGAACTTTTAGAAATTCTAGAAATTTTTAGAACAAAACTGCTCTTTCCGTGTATGATATTAAATAAAAAAAATAACAAAAAAATATGAGAAATTAAACTAATTAAATCCGACTCGCTAATTATCGGTTTCCTAATTAAAACGGGAGTGATCCCGGTAATTCCTACGGACATGTCGTAAATCTTTCCAGAGAGCTTTCCAGTGGTCAGCTTTCCGGCGGAGTCTATCTCCAGAAGTGCACAGGGTTAAACGGATTGGCGGAAAAATCTTATTTCCTTTGGCGCGCGGAAGATATTGGCCGTTTCGAGAACACGTTCCGTGCGCGCGATCCCATAAAGCAAAGTGCATCATTACCGGTTGTATATTAAGAAATAGGCGTATTAACATATTTCCGCGCCGCGGAGGCGCGTAATAACTCGCCCGTACGTAAGTTACACGATATTATTATAAGACGCTCTCTCTCTCTCTCT